GGACCAGAGTGCCCCCAGGTTGGCCGATGCACTACTGGAGGGGATGTTTGCCAGGCTGGGGGTGCCGGAGGAATTACACAGTGACCAGAGGCGTAACTTCGAGTCCCAGGTCTTCGCCAAAGTGTGCCAGCACCTGGGGATCACTAAGACGTGGACCACTGCGCTGCATCCCCAGAGCGACGGGTTGGTGGAGTGGTTTAATCGGACACTTGCCACCCAGCTGGCCACACTGGTGTCCTGGCACCAACGGGATTGGGACCACCACCTCCCCCTCGAGCTCTGACCGCGGTCCAGGAATCCACTGGGTGCACCCCGGCCTCGCTCATGCTGGGCCGGGAAATGCGAACCCCGGTGGACCTGGTCTTCGGCCCGCCGCCCGGAGATGGGTCGGCACTGCCGGCTGGACCGGACTACAAGTGGGACCTGCGGCAGCGGATGCGGCTGGTGCACAGCTTTGCACGGACCCACCTGACTCAGGCGGGGGTCCGGCAGAAGTGGCACTACGACCTGCGCTGCAGGGGGCCTGCCTTCCAGCCCGGGGACTCGGTTTGGGTGTACAGCCCGCGCCGCCGCAAAGGCCTCAGCCCTAAGCTGGCGCCGTCGTGGGAGGGGCCCGCTGAGGTACTCGGGATGGTGGGCGAGGTCTGCTACCGTGTCCGGTTGCGAACACGGGGTAGAGTGTTGATCCTGCACCGAGGCCCTACCAGGCCCAGGAGGAGGAGCCGTGTGGGGAGGCTCTAGAGGAGCAGCCGGGGCTGGAGCCTGCCGATAGTGGGGCGTCCGTGGGTCGCCAGCCGTCACCGCAGAGCAGCGGCCGCTCATGCAGGGTTCCACAGCAGTTAGCCGAGTACGAGTACAGCCTGAGGGGGGTGTTCGACGTCGGCGAGACACCAGACGCTTCAGGTGGGGGCAGTGTAACGCCCTTGCCTGGTGGTGAGGAGGAAGCGCCCCTAGGCGCTCGTAGTACCGCTGGGCATGCTGGGAGTGGTAGCCGGGGAGAGTCTGAGGGTCAGCACGATGACCAGCGGCTGACCCTACCTGTGTAAATAACGTCCTAGTAGTTCTAGTGCCCTTTGTAGTCTTATAAGAGTATAGCGTGTTGTTAAGTAATTACCACCCTAAAAATGTGTACGTGTTCCATCAGTTTCCTCATGTAAGTGTATATCCTGTGCTTGGTTTTGTGTGGTTGTTAATGAATAAAGTTAGCGCTTGGTTTGTTAATCGCGTCTCCACTGGTCCTTTGTTCTGAAAAGAACCTGTAAACGCTACATTATGAAGGCAGTGCAAAATATTTAATTGAAACAATTGATAATCGTATAATTAAAATGTACTGTGAAGTATTAGAACTCTTCAGTTTTTCTTGCTCAGAAATGTTCTTGTATTGTCGCAAGTAACGGTCAAAAATTAAGAATGTGTGATACTTGCCAAGGGTTCTGGATTTTATTTGGTAATAGGAATGTACAGGTGACCAGTAAATAATTATAAGATGTCATGTATTGTATTGTTCTCTCTTCAATTTTTCCTATTCAGCATGGAATGAACATCTTGCTTCAGCTTGAGCAATTATTATAACAGACAAAAAAAGCAAGTTTACATCTTCCTCTACTGGTCACATGTAATATCCTACCACTGACTACCAAAAGGAAGTGGTATCCAACAACTCCCTTCTTATCAGCAGCAAGGAGCTTTTCACAGTTCCTTCGACTATGACGTCCCTGCAGTGATGAGGTCGATTTCCAGAACCAAGCACTCAAAATACACTCAGGAACTCCTGGTCTAACATAGGCATTCCTTCCCTTCCACCTTAACACACTTCCTATCCCCAGGACCATTAACGACAACATTTCCATCCTACAGTCTGATCCCTCCACTGGGGCCCTCTTTTCTGACCGCCTCATCATCTCATATCGCCGATCACTTAATCTGCACAACCTTCTTGTTCACAGCTCCCTTGACCGCCCTCAGCAACCATCCATACCATGCACTTTCCCTTGCAACAGAGCTCAGCCATCTACATTGTGGAAACAGGAAGGAGACTCAGAGACCACTTCAGAGAACATGTTAGGGCTGTGAAGATTAAAGTTAACCATGCACTTCTTGTGTATACTTACACTGACAATGGAAATACTTACAGCCTTAAAACCCTGATTTTTCCCAACAGGAAATACAGTTTGTTACATTACAAATCTTTAACTTACATTTACATACCTTTTGGTCCTCACTACTGGTTTTGGATTTGGATTTATAATTAAAGAATAGTGAACGTATGATTAGACAGGAAATGTATCTCTTGGTCTCAGAAATAGTAAGTTATAGATTTAAGAAACACTACTCAGCCATGAATAAAGGCTTTGAAATTTAGATTTAAGTTATTGCTATGCATGGCTTCTAATTAAACTTTTTTTTTAATATAAAACATTAGGAGACACTTGCAGAGACCTGAATACACCCAGCAGGTTAGATTTTAGAATCTGAAGCATGATACACTGGGCTGTAAATACATCTTATACTGTATGTCTTCCATATCTTCATGTATGATGAAATGATTCAAGCTGTGCAGAAACATGTCTTTAGCGATTCTACTGTCTACCCACATTTAAAAGCTATTTAGGAAATGGATAGTGTCATATTTCTTTAGGTGAAAGCTCGTCTTTAGCACCCTTTATCTGATCTACGAGTGTTATATTACAATACGTGTTACAATAAAATACTGACCGAAGTCTGTAACGGTATACAAATGTTCACTTTATTAGTAAAAAAAAACTGTAAAAAACTAAAAATCTAATTTGTAAGTATATATATTATGTAAAGGAACAAGTAATAGGTTTATTCCATACTGAAAAGAGAAAAAAGAAAACACAACGTTTCGGCCGTGGAACATTCTTCAGGTGTGAGGTGTCAGGTGTTTCTTTCTTCTCTTTTCAGCATGGAATAAACTTGTTCCTTTGCAGCCTATGCATGCTGACACAGCTACCAACCTGAACTATTTATTATCGTAATGCTTATGGCCGACATTACAGGTGATGTCATCGCCCTTCCCTGTGAATAGCAGGGACCGCAGCCCTTGGGCTGACGGGAGATCTCCCTTTAGCTCAATTGGCTGGGTCCCTGTTTAGTGATGCCAGAGGCCCAGGTGGGGGGTTGACCTGAGGCAGCAGAGGCGTGGGCGCATACCTACGTGAACTTGAGAGCACTTCATTGGTGTCAGCAGTGGGGTGGGATAGTCCTTCGCCGAGGACGGCGAATTAAGAGGGGGAAGGTGTAACGCATACGGCCGACACTAGAGGTTGTGCGAGCCAGCTTACCAGTGCAGTGACTTCACCGCCCTCCCCTGTGAATAGCACGGACTGCAGCCATCAGGCTGACGGGAGATCTTCCTTTAGCTCAAGTGGCTGGGTCCCTGTTGAGAAACCCTGGAGGCCCGGGTTCAAGTCCCCAGCGGTGGGGGGCCGACCTGAGGCAGCAGTGGCGTGGGTGCATACCCACGTGAACCTGAAAGTGCTGTATTGGTGTCAGGGGCGGGATGGGATAGTCCTTCACCAAGGGTGGTGAATTAAGCAGAGATTCCCCTTTAGCTCAACTGGCTGGGTCCCTGTTGAATTACGCCGGAGGCCCGGGTTTGGGGGGCCGACCTGAGGCGGCATACCCACGTGAACCCGAGAGTGTTATGTATTACATTCAAATTATATATGCATGTTTCCATAATTATATATGATGATATTCAGGGGAATGACATCTGTCTTAATGTGTATTTTTTCTACTGGAAGCTCTTACCAGAGCTAATAGTACCAAAACTAATAACTTGCTGAATCAAACCTCTGATATAAATACTGAAAGAGGCAAAATCATGGGCACGATACACTTTAACCCTCCATCATTTTTAGGGATTATGGATGCATCATCATGCTGCTTTCATTGAAAGAAGATTGGTGAAGGCCTGCCAGCCATTCAATTCACACATTTTCTGAATATTGCAATATTGCAATCAATAATAACTGATAAATAAAAAAAGACAAATAAATAATGTTAAACACAAGCACATATTTATTTGTCTTCCCCTGTTAAAGCTGCTTTTTCACATCAGAAGAAATTAGTTTCTGGCAACTTTATTGTTGAATGGACATTCAGTACAAAAGTTAAAATACAATAGTGAACACTTGGTTGCTTTATGTTGAAATCTCAGTTTATATTGAAACCATACACAAAGTAATGTGCCTGAATCAAGAAAAATAAAACAGAAAATTAGGAAATGTAGTTAAAACATGAATTTAAATTTAAATACAAAAATAGTGCTGCCCTGGAATAAGTACAGAGAAGTCTGATCATATACATTCTGGGATAAAGCAGTGTCTTACACTTAAAAATAAATTTAAGACACTCAACCCAATTCTTTAGATCCAGCAGTGAAACAGAAACCAGAAAACAAAATGGAAACTTTGGGAAAGTAAAATGGAATTATTCAATGCTCAAAAGGTTGAGGGAATCTGAAATAAACTACCTGGTCATGCTGTTTAAGATAATACTGAGGTTTTTTAAAATAATTATCAGCTACTATAATTAGCATCCAGATGACCTAAATGGCCTCCTTTCTGTACTACTTATTTTCTAAGTAGCAGTATACAATGCTTTTTTTCCAAATTATTTGTCAACAAATGAGATACCTGTACATCTCATCCGGTTTTCAGCAGTTTTAAATCTTAACCTTTTGACTAGGTTCTGTTTGATTTCTTTTGTCTTGAAGCAGTAAATCAGAGGGTTTATCATGGGAGGCACCAGGCTGTAAGTCAGAATCAGGACAATGCGGAAATCAGTGTTTATCGTAATATTCACAACATTTGCTAGATAAACGAAGCTCCTGGGAAGGTAGTAGAGAGCTATAATACATAGCTGAGAAGAGCAGGTGGAAAATGCTTTGTATCTCCCTTCAGAGCTCGCAATCCTCATAACAGAGAGAATGATCTGAACATAAGTAAATATTATAAAGAAAAGGGGAACGAACAACACAAGCATGGCACTAATTAAAGCCACTAAGCTATAGGACCTGATGTCTGCACAAGCAAGCCTGGTTATTCCTATGTGATCACAGTAACAATGTACAATAACATCGGGCCCACAAAAAGGCAAAGTGACTGCCCGAATGGCTAAATTAGCTACTATAAATATTGTTATACCCCATGAAAAAGCACACATAATGAATACATTAGTGTTTTTAAGCAACATTGGATACCTGAGAGGGTTACATATTGCAATGTAGCGGTCGATTGCCATTATCATTAAAAGAAATGAATTTACTGATCCCAAGTAATGGACAAAAAACATTTGTAGGAAACAAGCAGAAAAAGGGATAGCTTGGGAACCGAACCAGTACCTGGCAATGATTTTGGGCAATGTAGTTGTACTGAAAGCTAAATCTGCCACTGCAAGGTTCCCGAAGATGAGATAGGTGGGTTTCTGCAGGTTTTTCTCAATGATGATGACCACAACGATAAATCCATTCCCAATTAGAATTGCCACGTAAATGAGAAAAAAAAGAGCTGAAACCAGTGAATGGTATTGTGGCAGAAGTCCAGGGAAACCCAAGATGAAAAACTCTGTGATTTGGGTTCTGTTTGCTTCAGGCATGGCAAGCTCTTCATGTAGTGTACTCTAAAACACACAGAAAAAACAGGCAGGAACAAATTAGAACATCTCATGCAGTAGAAACACTTTCAAACAACCGATGTAGATTCTTAATGATTTCTTACAGAGTAGCACAGGAGTTATGCTGCAATATCTCAAATAATGCTTCTTGAATCCTGCAGTACATGTTACCAGCACATTAAATTCAGTCTGTTTCCTCAGTTTTTAAGTGGCATAAATTCGTAAATTAATATTAGATATGTATCAGATTTTTCAGTGGGGAATTCATTGTGAATATGTGGCCAGTATTTCAGAGTTTTACTCATGTGACTCGCTTTATGATTATTGCATTGAAAATAAATATATTGTGATTTGTCAAAACATATTTGCAGAAAACTGCAAGAAGAGATTCTGTTCCCCTCTTGGAGCTCAGAATTTAAAACACAATATATAATCCACATCCAGTATATTGAAGAGCTTGGAGAAGGGAACTGCCTGAGTGTGAGAGGTGCAGAGGAACAAGTACTAGTTAATACAAAATTGAAAAGTTAAAAAGTTGAAAAGTTTGTGTTTATGTACTATATAGTTTTAATGAATTATTTGTGAATCTTTAATACTAATAAGTCACATCCTGTGTCATTTTTAGAACCATACAGGAGATTATGTAAGACTTTTTAATATGTCAATACGATGGTTGTAATGATAGTTGAGTTTTTTCCTTCTGAAAAAATGTATTTTGATTTCTTTTTACTTTGTCTTGAATAGTTAACTGTTACTCATTGTGTTTCACACTTGCAATGTACAGTTATTGTGGATGTATGATTCTGACATTTTACTAATCGTTCAGAAAAAAATAGAAATTAGGAAAAAAAATATTTTTTGGTGTTTACATTTATTTGAGGTATTTTGTTCACTAAACTCACTTTGTTAAATTACTACTAAGACATCTGGGATTTTATCACCTACTGTCAATGAAATAAAGTATTTGTTTTGCACTAACCACCCTGATCACAAGTGATCTGAGCTGTAAATTAAAGCAGACAAACTTTTGGCCTTACCTTTCACTGTGTAACCACCGAGAGCATGTGCTTCAGTTGTAGACTGACTCTTTCTGTGCCTGGCACTATTTAAATACAGTATCTTCCCCCTTGGATTGCATTTACTATTCATATAAATTTCCTCCAAAGGGAGATAAAAATCAGTGTACCTATTATAAAGAAAAAAAACAGTGTTTCTAATTGACTAAGTAGAAGCCACAAGTGACATTTTATTTCACAACTTCATTATTATAAAAACATTATCTTTAACAATTGCAAAGTGTAAAATTAAAAAAAAAATTGCATAAGAAATAAAAAATGCTACACTTTGTTTTGTTGTGAAAATGTAATTTTGATTGGTCATTCTTGAGTTTATATTTAAGAAAGTTTGCCTGTATTCCAGTCTTTCTTGCTTGGCCTGTTAGATACTTGATCCAGGAATACCAGGAAGTAGTTGTTAGTTCAATGCAGCCACCATTCTTTTAGTAAATATGTGCACATTTACTAGTTAAATACATTCAAAATACTAAACCCTCTCTTCAACAATTTAAATGATGTTCCATTAGTTAATTTTATGAATACAGCTCAGAAGAATCTGGAGTTCTCTTATTGTTTTGGTGTAAGACAGGAGGGGGCAAAAGTCTGCAGTACATACTGCAGTACAAGTCTGCTCCTGGTCTGCAGTACATACTGTAGGTTTCCTAGTTCTTTTCAAGGCAACATGAAGTAACAATGTTACTTAACAAGTTTAATAACAAGAAGTTATTAAACTGATTCCATTAAGCCAATAAGAAGATACTGTATACAATTCTAGGTTGTAAAAGCCATGTTTGAATGAAATCCTGTAGATCACTCACCCCCCAGGACTAGGATTGCCCAATCCTCGTTTAAACATACTATACATACATATATAAAGGGGTTCAATTACAGTTGATCTGCCACTAGAGACCACTATAAAGCGTGAAGTCATTGTAAATAGCCATAGTGGGTGTTAATTACTTTAATAAATAAATAAATTAGTGGAAAAACTGAGAATTTCAGATTCTTCACGGTGCGTAGCTACAGGGAACAGAAGCTACATTTTCAGTAGATATAATAGTACATGAGAATATTACTAGCTATTTCATGAAACCACTATTTGATGATATTTACTAATGTATGGCTAGGAAATGTTATGAATGCTCACAAAAAAATGTTTTAGTGCAAACATGACTTTCCTCATTGCTACTGTAACACACTGTTGCTTTATCCCAGTTGCCAACACAGTAAGAAATCTGCACCAGCCACAAGGAGTCTTAGCCCAACAAACAGAGTTTGAGTTTCTTTTAACACTTGGCCAAGACAAGCAATGTTAATAATGTATGAGAGATTGTGACTTAAAAGTATACTGTCTGCTGAAATGGTACCTTTCAAATAAAATTATCAGGAAACTGTAAATGGTTTTGGTGACCTTTAAATTTTAATTCTTTCTGCAAAGCTCTAATGTCAACTGGATCCCTGACAAAAAGTGATGTCATTTTTTGCATAGGACTCGTTGGTCTGTGAGCTGAGCTCTTAACCTTAAAGTCAGGTTAAGAGTAGAGGAGCAGATTGAGTAGAGGATATTTTACTATAGTTACTTAACTGATACAATTCAGTCTTGCTTTGTGCAACAAAAAAATCCTGACTTTAGTGAACATGTTTATGTCACGCCCTCTGCAGCCAGAGGGCGCTCCCTCTTTGTCCTGTCCCTAGTTTCCGGTCTGCTGTCCTTCCTGTCCCTCTCTTTCCCTTGGGCTATATATTTTTGGGTCTTGCACTCTGTCCTCGCTCAGCATTGACGTTCGGATGTCCTGAGACCCGCCTAGCACCAGGGCGCCCCA